TATTTATTATTATTATTATTAATTTTTTTTTTTTGCCGCCGGCGGAATCAGAGACACGGACGCAGGCAGGGTCACGCGAAACCAGAATTCCTTCCGGAGAGCAAATCCGTACAGAAGGTTGTGAGAGGAAGGGGGAGAACCGGGGAAGGGGGGGCCCAGGAAGGAGGAGTTGGGGACACAAGGACAGATGGCCCTCTCCGTCCGGATCTGCTAAGCCACCCCAACCAGCCCCCGTCCCTCCCCCACCCCACCCTGCAGAGAGATTGATCAATAAATAAAATAATAAATTAATCAATAAATAAAATAGAAACAGCTCCCCCGCCCTCGGCCCCCCCTAGAACCACCCCCCATTGGGCACGGCCCCCTGAGCCCCATCCTTGTAGGGCAAGGCCGGGTTTGTTGTATCTCTCCCCTCCCTACATACTCCTTGGGCCCTATTTACAGATTCACAGTTGGGGGGCAGGGAAGGGGGGTGGAGGGGGTTCCCCTCCTTCCCCGGCCCCCTGGGGTCAGGGCAGAGGGGTCCCATTGGTGGCCAGGAGCTTCTTGTCCTTCGCGGGGCCTCGGCGGGGAGAGCTGGTCAGCTCTGGGTCTGGGCGGCCGGGTGGGGGCTGCAGGCTTCTGGGTGGGGTGCCAGCAGGCCGGGTCTGGGCCCCGTTCTTCTCATCTGTGGAGAAGGAAGCAGTGTGGCCTCAGGAACCTCAAGGCTGCCGAACCCCAAGGAACACGTTCCAGCGACATCATGGTGAGGCTAAGGGCCCCCACTGCGGGGCTGGAAGCCTGGGGGGGATGGCTGCCAGGAGGACACCCGTCTGCAACCAGACCTGGCAAGGTCATGGACAGCAAGCAGGTCATGAATCCTGGGCCCCTCCGGCCCCTGTGGCTTAGGAAACTGGGCCAACTTCGTCCCAGTGAGACCCAGAGGCCCGACTCCAGGGGGCTTTCTCACGGACTCTGGCTATGACGCTATCCACTAAGGGACAGCTTGTCACAGCAGCAGGTCCCATTCGAGTCCCCAGATCACAGCCAGAGGCCCCCTTGCCTTCTGCTCTCCTGGTTGTTAGGGGAAACGCTCCTCAGCAACAGGGCACAGGGGAGCCCACAGGGGGTTGTTTGGGGGATCTGAACAAACCCGGATGGTCGATTGCCCTTCTCCAGAACACCGTTCCCAAACTTTTGTTAGCAAGTTCCACGACCGCGACACAGAGACTAGTCAACCTCTGAGGGATCCCTGGAGGTGCCCTCCCTAGCCAGGAGGCCTTCTCAGGTTGGGATGGCCCTGTTCCCTGGATGGAGCTTAGACCCCAGCCTCTCTGAGAACTTGTGATCCTCGCCCACAAACCAAAGCCTTGGGGCACTTGCTCAGCAGGCGGTCTCCCCTCCAGCCCACGGGATAAAGGAGGGACACATGGCCTCGGCCCCTGCCTCCCACCTGCCAGGGCCTGCACGGAGGGCTGGTCGTGAGTGCTCAGCAGCTGTGCCTGGATGGTCTCCACAACTCGCTTGAACCGACGGCTGGGACCTGGAGGGGATACAGAGATGGACTGACTTGGGGACAGGGACAGGGAAGGCCCCCCCACCCTGTGGAACCCAGCAAAGGACTCTCCTCCTCTTGGTCTCAACTTGCTGCCCTGTGTTGGGGCCAGGCATAAACCCACCATTTGCAAATGGGGCTAAGAAAGATTGGAGTTAAAATAATGATGGGTGTGGCTTTCTATTTAAATAGGTTGTGTTACTTGTTAGTTTCTAGCTGAGGCCGTGAAGAACCAGAAATATAAGAAAAATAAACCGGAAGTGAAAAAAAAATCTTAAAATCGAGGAAGTCCTGCGTATTAATCTTTAAGGGAAGGGGAAAAGAAATGCACTGTAATTCATTTTAGTGATGTAACACTGGCAGGAAACTCTGGGGGCAAGCTCATCTCCCAACTGTGACGTAATAAGACTGCTAACAAGGGTAGCACACAGAAGCATCTCTTGTTATTCAGACTCTTCTCATCAGGGCCCGGGAAGCAAGCCGAATCGGAAGCAAGACGTTTCTGGGGTTTTCATCTCTGGTGCCAACTCTTGATTGGTCATGGCGGCCTGCAGTTTCTGAGGCTGCAGCTGTGCTCCGGAGGAAGAGGTGCCGTGATGGACTGGTGATGTCTGCTCTGGGTGCGGGCATGACACTGGACCGCGGCGAGCCACGTCTTTGCCCTTCAGTGTCAGCAGGGCTGGGTTGAGCCCGGCTCTGTCAAGTCAATTTACCTCAACAGGACTCTGTTTTCTCCTCTGTCAAGTGGGTGAGCACTAATACCTCAAAGGCTGCTGGGAAGCTTCAGTGAAATAGTGCATGTAAAGCACTTGGAACATCATAAATGTCCATGAAGGGGTGCCTGGGTGGCTCAGTCCGCTAAGCGTCTGCCTTCAGCTCAGGTCATGATCTCGGTCCTGGGATCGAGCCCCGCATGAGGCTCCCTGCTCAGCGGGGAGTCTGCTTCTCCCTCTGCCCCTCCACCTGACTTGTGCCCTGTCTCTCTCTCAAATAAATAAAATCTTAAAAAAAAAAAAAGTCCATGAAATGTCACTGAGAAAAGGGGGAAGGACAGAATGTGAGGGTCTGAATGAGGGGGCCACTGTCCCAGCTCGGCTGTCTTGCGCATCCCACACACCAGAGTGGAGGCAGTCTCTAGCCAAGGGACGCTTACCGGAGATGAGCGTAAAGGTGACGGAGTAGATTCCACCACCACCACTGCTGTCCCGTCGTGGGGAAGGCTCTGGACCCTCTGAGGAGCTGATGTCCACCTGGAATCGGACGGGCTTCTGGAAGACGGAGGGGCCGCCACTGGCCTTGTACTCGGCCCTGAAGCTGGTCTGTGACAGCACACTGTGACTCAGGCTGGGGATCTGAGACAGGCGGGGGACGAAAGGAGGGGGTGATTCCAGGGAATGGAGAACCACGACCACCTTTGCCCAAGGAACTACAAGTTCCATCAGCCACCAGGGGGGAAAGAATAACAGAAAAGCGGGGGGGCGGGGGCGGGGGCGGGCGGAGTTCCCATTTCCTGCTGGGACTTGTAGTTTTCGGGTCCAACTCTAAACGGTATCAGAGGAATGGCTGATAACAGGGACTTTCACATCTAGGCGTCAGCCCCAGGCTCCAGAATCACATGATACAAACTTCTCTGCCTCCACAGGCATTACCATATCTGTCTCAAAACCTGTAAGTCCCACTAGCTCCTAGAGCAAGAACCAGAAGGCCCAGTGGAAAAAGTGGTTCCGTCTGCTAATCTCAGACCTGGTGATGGGGGAATGGGCAGCTCACCAATACTCTAGGGAGTTGCACCACCTCCAGGCCCCAGGGTACAGTAAACCTCTCCACCTCCCGCCCCTACAGTGACCCAACCCAACTCTGAACGGAAAACTACAGAACCCATGAGCCTCAGGAGGCAGTCAGGCCAGCGCGAAGGCAGTGGACCCCAGGGGCTGCTGGGACTTGTAGTCCTGTGCTGGCCAGGACACAGTAAGACCCAGGCCCCTCACCGACAGGAAGGCATGGACGATGTCCGCTTTGATGCTGCTGAGAGGTTTGTCCTTTAGCACAAGGAATATTTGTTCTTCTTTGTCCAAGGAGATGAAGTTCCCAAACCAGGAGCGTTTTGCCAACCTGAGTGAAAAGGTATGGTTAGAAGGTGAGTCAGGACGGGGCTCAGGGAATAAACCCTTCCCCCATCCTCTCACTTCCCTTCCCTGTCAGACTCACTCTGGAGAGGACTCTGGCGTCAAACTGGACATCTCCTCGGCAGTGGGGACTGGGGGGCGGGGAGGGAGGGGAGAGTATGGTCAACACTTGCCCATCATCCTGGGGTCCAGCACGCGGGCCAGCAGTCCCCTCCAACCAGAGGTTCCAGATCCCGGTGCCCATTCACCTCCCAGTAACTAAACCCCAAATGGCATGCTGCTCGGTAGTCCTTCTGGGGATGCTAGCCAACCCGTTAGGCCATGTCCTCTGAGGGTGGAACTTGCTAGTCATGAGCCAATGGGAAGATGAGCCAGGGCACTGAAAGGAGGTGTCCTTCACAGAGGCTCCTCCTCTAGCGCTGGAAGCCACACCCCCTCTCCCCAACACCTGAATTTCTACTCCCAGCCCCATCTTCTCTCAGGAGGTGGGAATCCGGGCCCCCAGCCCCTGCACCCTCAGGGACACTGTACCCTGCATCTTGCGCCGGTGAAAGCGAGGGGAGCCCAGGAAGCTGTTGCGGATGGAGTTGAGACGACTCCTCCAGGCGGCTCCCCCGACTCCACCGCCGGGGCTTGGGGGTGGCGTCGTTCCCGGCGTCCCAGTGGGACTGGCCCGGGGCGTGTGCAGGGGCGAATGCAAGGGGGTACCCCCAGAGGAGCGCGGGGAGCCTGGGGGACCAGGCAGGGGCGTGGAACGGGCACTGGGGGGTGGGGGCTGCTCCCCGGCGCCCCCACCCCTGGGGCCTCGAGAAGGCAGCGTCTGCGTTTTGGAAGTGGGGGAGCCCCCGCCCCGAGCCTCATCTCCGGCCCCGGGCTCAGGTGAGAAGGAAAAGACAGGACTCTGTGGAAGAGTGGAGAAGGGTGAGATGGCGAACTACAACTCCCAGGAGCCTCTAGGAACCCCATTCGCACATACTCACGGAGGTGGGTCCCGACGCATGCTGGAACTTGTAGTCCAGTGATTTTTTTTTTTTTCCCCCCTCCCAACCCACATCGTTAGGGGGACAGAGACTTTTTCTATCATGTTCACTGCTGTAGCACAGTGACTGGTACACAGTAGGCGCTCAATTAGCTTTTGTTCCGCGCATAAACGAACCCTTGAAACACACTAAAACCCCAATCCTATCGGAGGTGGAAATGCCCAATGTACTAAAATACTTATGCGGCCTTAGGGTTGGGGGCCCTTTAGGGACAGAGAGGCAATGCCTCAAGACTTCATGGGAGTTGTAGTTCCTGCTGCTCTATCTCGGCTCCAGCGTCTTCACCCCCTTACCCCTTCCTAATGACTTGGGGCTTACCCTTGGGCTGCTGAGAGGGCTGGAGGACAGACCGGTGGAGGCTCCACTGACACTGCGGGATCTGTTTCCAGGAGAGACGATGATGATGATGATGATGATGATGATGATGATGATGATGATTTTTAATCAGGTGTGTGGGTTTCACAAGGCGCAGATGTCCTCTCCCTTCCACACGCCTTTGCGATGCGGACTTGAGGCCCGGAGAGGGGCCACTGCGGTGGAGCTGGGGCTAGAACCCCGAACCCCCTCCCCACCCACACTGTGGGTCCGCGGGAGGGGCGGCGGCTCCCACCTCTGACTGTGCTGGGCCATCTCCAGGGCGCGTCGGGTGGGCACGGGGGAGCCGCCGCCCCCAGCATCCGTGATGCTCAGAACTTCCATGGACTTCCGCTCTGGCCGCCGCTTCCCGTGACGGCTCAGCATGGGGGAATCCACACGTTTCCGAGGGGGGTCTGAGGGCGGAGAGTTTCAGCCCCATCAGAAGCCGGCTTCGCGCAGCAGTGTGTGGCACTGGTGCCCGTGGGGGAACGGAGGCCCGGAGTGCAGACTTTTGACAAGGCCACGGAGCAAGTCGGGGCGGGGTGGGGGTGGGGGTCTAAACACAGAAGCTACGGGCTTGCAGCCCCTTCCTCCCTTCGGAGTCCGGGGTCTGGACCCCCAGCCCTGCCTTCTCACCGACGTCATTCCGGGGAGGCAGGTCCTGGTCCTCACAGCTGGGATACCGCTCCTTCCGATCCAAAAGCAGATAGTAGATCATCTTTTCTTGGTTCTCCCTGATGGGGAAGGGAAGGGAGGGGGTAGGAGGGGATTGCGGTCAGGGGTCGGGCTCCAGAGGTCTCACCCCCTCCCTGCAGCTGTGGCTCTCGGGGACTTGGTACACCCAGTACCTCTGTCCATGGGTCCATCTTCCTAGGCATCAACATGGCTAGCTTTTTTGTGTCGGCGTACATCTGACCCTTACTTAGCCGTAGTAACACCTAATAACTGAGCACTTACTACTTGTAAGCACTGCGTGGGGCACTAAGTCTGTCTCAGCGCCTGGCGATACTCTGCAGCATCTTGTCTTTTTTCCGCCGGTCCTACCGCCCCCTCGTGGTCCCTCCGGGGACAGCTCCACGTGGGAACTTTAAGCCACGCCCCATCCAGCGACCTGGGCGCCACGCCCCAGGGAGTCTGCGCGTGCGCGGGGCCTGGGCGCGCCCTCTGCTGGCTGGCTGGGGCCCTGCGGCGGCTCGCGGGACGTGGACCGCTGGTGCGCGTTGGGGCAGGGGGCCTTACTCCTCGCTGCGCAGCTCGCGGTGCAGCCGCTCGCGGTCCCTGAAGCAGCCCAGCGAGGCCATGCTCTCCAGGACGTCGGGGTCCAGCTCTCCGTTCGATGGCAGGCTCCGCATGGCCACCCGGCGGCCTGGGGCTGGCTCCAGGCAAGGGTCTGGCTCGTGTTTCCCGCCCCTGGGGAGGGGGAGAAACGTTACAGGGGACCGGGCCGGGCGTCCAGGATTCGAGCCCTCTCCACCTGAGACGCAGGTGTCCTGGGCCCCAACCTGCTCCTCTCTTGGGAACCCAGGAGTCCCGGCTCCCAGCCCCTGCTCCGCCTGTGTCCTCTTCCCCTAGGACCCAGAAATCTGAGTCCCTAGCCCCTCTTCATTGAGGAACCCTGGTGTCCCACCCTCTAGCTGGTTCTCCTGCCGGGGACCCTTGATGTTTGGGCCCCCTCCCTTTCTGCCCCAGGGACCCAGGTGCTCAGCTGTCCCATACTCACAGGTACCAGGGATGTTTCTGAATTTGCTCCAGCTGAGGGTGGGAGAGAAGCAGAAATGAGGTCGTATGAACACAGTAGGCCGCAAGGAAAGTTGATGAGGTGGCGTTGGGGATCCCTAACAGTGTCCCCTCCTCTCCACCAGGGGCAGGATGACAGCTTAGGTCTTCCCCTAGTGGCGACTGAGCGCCTCGACCCGCGACTACCGGGGACAGGCCTGGGACAGGCCTGGGACATGGCCCGCATGCACAGTGCCCCCCCCCCTGCTGTAGGGGTCCTCCCCAGTTTGGAGCTCATTCAGCGACCCCGGGGACTGACAGCCAGGTCCTGGAAATCCAGCCTCATGCGCCCCCTCTAGGGATTCTGTCCTCATGACCCACCGCCCCCCCAACTCACACTGAGCCTTTTCTCAGGCTCCACTTCGATCATCCCTCTCAGGAGGCTCTGGCAGTCTGGAGGGATGAAGTGGGGCATATGGAAGACGCCCCGTTTCACCTTCTCCAGCAGCTGACGGAGATTGTCATCATCAAAGGGCAGAGCCCCCTGAGTGAGAAATAACAGGACCCCTTACATAGAGCTTGGGATGTTCCAGGCGAGAGCCTAAGCACTTGACAAATCAGCACATTTAGTCCTTGCCACAAGCACTGGGAGGCAGGGGACTATTATTATCCCACTTCACATGGGGGAGACTGAGGCATGGAGCTGTCCAGCAATTTGCCCAAGGCCTCTGAGCTGGTAAGTGGCAGAGCAAGGATTTGGCAACAGACAAGTCAGGCTCCAGGGCTTAAGAGGCTGGGGTTGCAGCTTGAGGCTGCATCTTAAAAACAGGTTTCTCCCCAGACCAGTTTCAGGAGGGGTAATCCTCACGCGTTCGTTCAACAAAAGGTGAGCATCCGTTTTGGGTCAGGGCTCTCATAACAGACAAAACAAAGCCCTCGCCCTCCTACAGCTCACACCCTAGATTGTGAGACCAGTGAGTGAATGAACTTTAGCAGCCATGTCATGAGGCAGACACCCTGCTATGTCCCAGGTTCTGATCTGGCCGCGAGGGATGGAGCAGGGGACAGCAGGCCCCTGGCCCCACGGAGCTTTGTCCAGAACAGTGCCTGGCACACACGGATTAATAAGCAGTGGCTGTTGGATGAGTAGTGGGAGGGCAAGCGAACAACAAAGGGACACATGGAATGAGACAGGTGGGAGTCCGTGCGATGAGGAAACACGAGCAGAGCGAGCAGGTAGCGAGAGAGGGGAGCCGGGTCTAGCAAGGGAGTCGGGGAAGGGGTCTCGGAGGAGATGATGCTGGACAAAGACTTGCAGGGGTGACAGCATGAGTCTCTGAGGGCTTTTCCAGGTGTTGCCCCTGGTGTCAGAGGCCTCTGGACAGAGGATGCAGGGTGTAGGGGAGAGGAGGAAAGGGGCACCCCACAATGCTGGTCTAGGGCCAGGAAGCCTGGATGTGACTTCCGCTTGTCTGTCTCATTCAATGTGGCCGAGTGTTTGTTGTCAGCCTGGCACCTGGATTCTACACTTCCCAGCCTCCAGAACAGTGAGAAGTAAGTTCACGCTGCCCCATCTACCTTTGTTATAGGAGACCAGACTAAGACAGACAATTTGTTGACATTGAACACGTGGCCAGCAGCATTCGAACTCAGGCTGGAAAGAAGCTTATCTAACACAGGTATTTTCTCTGTGACGGACAAAACAACCTTCCCGTCCTTAGGAACGCACAACGGCACTCTGCGGCGGGACGATTTAAAATCACCAACAGGGGCGCTTGGGTGGCTCAGTTGGTTAAGCGACTGCCTTCGGCTCAGGTCATGGTCCCAGGGTCCTGGGATCGAGTCCCACATCAGGCTCCCTGCTTGGCGGGAAGCCTGCTTCTCCCTCTCCCACTCCCCCTGCTTGTGTTCCCTCTCTCGCTGTCTCTCTTGTCAATCTTCCCTGGGGTAGTGCGAGCCCCAGGCGCACCCGTTCAGCCTCGGTCCCCTCCGTGTCACACAGGCTAGTGGTGATGAGACCAAACACTGATCCCAGCCCTGCCACTGTCCAGAAGTGTGCCTGTGGGCCAGTCACTTTTCGTCTCTAGGGTTTTGAAGAGAAGTGCATGAGGTAATGTGCTTGGAACAGTGCCTGGCACAGAGTAAACCACCAATTTATTCGTGCCACTGTTAAGGAGGGCTGACTACATGCCAACTCGGGTCACGATGGTGACCCAACAGAATAAAACACACAAAGACAAAAGCCCTGAATTCTGGGAGCTGATGATTTAGAAGGGAAGGAGAAACCGCACAACTCAACGCACAATGGCAACTCTGATAGTCACCAGGAAGGACAGAGCCTCGCCCCAGAAGGTCTGACCTCGTGAGGGGTGGGGGGAGAAGTGGGAGTGAAGAGAAGTCTAGGTGTGAACTAGATGAGCAACGGGACTGGTAGGGATGGAAGGGCGTTCTAGGCAGAGAAGAGCAGGTGCAAAGGCCCTGGGGGAAGAGCCGGGCTGACAGGCCTGGTCTGATTATACTTGTTATTACCATATTGCAACAAACACCCTAGAACAGCCACTGTCCCAAGCCGCCCAAGGGCTCCTGGCTGCCCCGTCTCTTTCTGGGACACCCTGGACTAGCTCACAGTGCTGTGACTCAATGGTTAGCTCTGGGCACAGAGGTAGGGGCAGGGGGGAGGGTGCTCCAGGATCTTGGTTTGTTGGTTCATACTTCCCACCTTCCTGATACCAGTTAAATATTTGGAAGACAACCCCTGAGGGAAAGATGGAACTTAATGTTCTGTGCTCCCACCAGGCAGGACTGTTCTAGAAAATGGGGCAGGAGAGGTGAGGGGCCCCTTACCACAAGCAGGGCAAAGAGAATGACTCCACAGCTCCACATATCTGCCCGGCGGCCGTCATACTTCTCCCCCTGGAAAGGAGAAGGCCCAGCCATGACAGGGTCTCTCCACCATCCTCCCCCCACTCCTCCCTCCTCTCCACCTGCTCACTCACCTTAATCACCTCCGGACACGCATAGTGGGGGGACCTGCGGGAGAGAGGTGGTGTGAGCCTCTGGTGGGCTTCTCGCCCCCTCCCTGGGACTACGGAGGCCAGGCCCCCACTCACCCACAGCTGGTCTCCAGGAGGCTGTCCCCCACCTGCAGGGACGCCATGCCAAAGTCTGCGATGCGGATGTTGTTTTTCTCATCCAAAAGCAGGTTCTCGGGCTTCAGGTCTCTGTGGCTGAGACAGGCAGGTGGGGCTCAGGCCTCTGCCCTCCTCCTGGAGGCTGAGGCCCCATTTGCTATCTCTCAGAGGCGGGCACTTCTGGAAACTATTATGGACAATTTCAAACATGCTCCCAAGTAGTGAGAAGAATATAAGGAAGCCCCAAGTACCCACCCCCCAGCCTCACCTGTATCAACTCAGGGCAAGTCTTCCTTCCTCTCTACCCATACATACTCTTTCCTTCCTCCGCTGGATTATTTCGTAGGAGGCCCCAGACAGTGTATCATTTTATTCACAAATATTTGAATATGTACCAAGGAAGTAAGAGGGCTAATGTTGAGCTACTGAAATATTGAAATACTTCCATACTGAATAATAAGAATATGGTCACCCCAAGCTAGTCACTGGTCCCTCCCTGGAGACACCAGCCCTCTCCCCTGGAGCAAAACTCCTCAAGTTCTAAGGGTTGATGTCTGGGGGGAGGTGGGGCCTGAGGATTCTACAGTTTCTGTTGGAAGTGGTCAGTAACTGGGTCATACTTGTTGTTAAATATGTTGACTATTGCCCCCTAGAGGTCAGCGCTTGTAATGTCAGGGTTTTGACTGGGTCGTGTAAATAGGGAGGTGTTGACAATTTAAATGGGTTGCCTTTCCATCACCAAGCTTTATCCCCACCTTGGAGCCCCTCCACCCTGACACCCACCCCAGCTCCAATCCCCATCCCAGAGGGGGAAGGGGCGCAAGCAAATGAGGCTGAAAGACGAGCTGAAGGCCATTCAGTGAGGAAAGGACAATCTTTTCATATGGACATTCACATGCCAGAAAACAAAAAACAAAACAAAACAAACAAAAAAATGAACCTCAACCCTTGCCTCCCATCACAGACAAAAATTAATTTGAAATGTATCCCAGGCCGGGGCGCCTGGGTGGCTCAGTCGTTAAGCGTCTGCCTTTGGCTCAGGTCGTGATCCCAGGGTCCTAGGATCGAGCCCCACATCGGGCTCCCTGCACCGCGGGGAAGCCTGCTCCTCCCTCTCCCACTCCCCCTGCTTGTGTTCCCTCTCTCACTGTGTCTCTCTCTGTCAAATAATAAATAAAATCTTTAAAAAAAAAAAAAGAAATGTATCCCAGGCCAAAATGCAAGAGCTAAAACTATATAATTTCAAGAAGAAAATGTAGGAGGAAGCCTTAGGGACCTTGAGCTGGGCAAAGATTTATAGATAGGGCAGAAAAGGCATAAATTGTTAAAAAAAAAAAAAGAAGAAGATATAAACTTGAATTTATCAAAATTTAAAACTTGCTTTTCACAAGACATTGCTATAAAAAAAAGCGGGGAGCCTGGCTAGCTCAGTCAGGAGAGCATGCAACTCTTCCCCGCCCCTTTTAGAAATTTTATTTATTTGAGAGAGAGAGAGATAGCACGAGTGGGGGGAGGGGTACAGGAACAAGCAGACTCCCCACTGGGTGCAGAGCCCCATGCGGGGCTCCATTCCAGCGCCCCAAGATCATGACCTGAGCCAAAGTCAGACACTTAACCAACTGAGCCACCCAGGTGCCCCGAGTCTGTGACTCTTGATCTCAGGGTCATAAGTTCGAGCTCCATGTTGGGTGTAGAGATTACTTAAATAAAAAACTTTAAAAAAATTAAAAAACAATTAAAACTCAAAAGTATGTCACAGACTGGAAGAAAATACTTGAAAAATATACAGTTAATAAAAGATTTGAATAAAGAACTCTTAGGAAATGCCTGGGAGGCTCAGTTGGTTAAGCATCTGCCTTTGGCTCAGGTCATGATCCCAGGGTCCTGGAATCGAGCGACGCGTTGGGATCCTTGCTCAGCGGGGAGCCTGCTTCTCCCTCCTCCTGCCTCTGCCCCTACTTGTGCTCTCTCTGACAAATAAATAAATAAAATATTTAAAAAAAGAACTCTTGGGCGCCTGGGTGGCTCAGTTGGTTAAGCGACTGCCTTCGGCTCAGGTCATGATCCCGGGATCCTGGAATCAAGTCCCCCATCAGACTCCCTGCTTCTCCTTCTCCCTCTTCCTGCCGCTCCCCCTACTTGTGCTCTGTCACTCTCTCTCTCTGTCAAATATATAAATAGAATCTTAAAAAAAAATAAATGAGAACTTTTCGCCCTCCAAAAACCAATTTTTACCCCCTGGGTGGCAATATCAGCCCTCCCCCTCCCCGGTTGAGAATGAAAGATTTATTACTAATATTTCCCGAGCGTCTACGATGTGCCAGGCCCTGTATTAGGGAGTGAGGCCGCAGCAGTGAGCAGTCTCTTGGGTGGGTCAAAGACCCCTCCCCCATCACAGCCCTCGCGTCTCGCACCCCCCCACCGCGTATCTATCTTCCTCGCAACTCTTGTCCCTTTTCCTCCCAGCAAAAGAACCAGCTGCCAACGCACCTGATAGGGGCCTTCTTTGCCTTATTCGTGGGCAACCTCTACTTCTGGCTGCAGCTTTTTCTCTTCTGGAGGATGAGGAGCCTGCCCCAGCCTGGGGCCCCCTGGATCGGACCGCTCCGCCTGGGCCTCTGCAGCCTCTGCACCATCCTCATGGTGGCCAGTATCCTTACTGGGGTTGGTGGCAGGCGTTGGGGGTTCTTCACTGGGGTGGGTCGGCTCCATGCAATGTGCGGTGCCCTGTCCTTTCTTGGCCTCAGTCTCCTCAGGATTAGAGCGTCATAGAAAGTGTCAACCCAGGGGTCAGGCAGCCTGGGTCGAATTCCACCTCCCCCACGTCCTAGCTGGGGGAAAAACTCCACTGGCTGAACTTCTCAGTGTCTCAGCTCCTTCAGCTCTCAAATGTGGATAATAACAGGGCTGCCCCCGGAGTTGTAAGGAATGAAGGGAGTAATACATGTGAGGTGCTTAGCTCGGTGCCCAGCGCAGTGAGCCACCAGCAGATCCTGGGAGGATGGCAAGCCAGCGAGAGCAGCCTGTTTGGGGTACCTGCCCTGTGCCGGGCATCATGTTGGCGAAGACTGGAAACTGAGGCTCAGAGAGGGGGAGTCTCTTGGCCAAGGCCCGTCATGAAGCCCAACGGTGGAGCTCATGGTGGAGGCAGGCAGCTTGTACAAGCTCTCGAGGGCAGTCCCTATCTCTTCCCAGCTCCATGTTTGGTGCTGTCATATTATCCCGCGGGCCTTGGTGGGAGTGTTCACAACACAGAAATTGGCCGATGTTGCAAATCGGAGCTGGTTGTTAACCATCTACCAGCATGCCTACCACCGGCTGGAGACTCTACCCAGCCCAGTTCTGAGTCACCCGAGCCCAGATGCTTTCCGCCAGCCCGGCACGCCTCCGGGTGACTCAAATCACTGTGCTCCAGTTTCCATATCTGTAAAAGGAGTTGTTTTGATCATAGTAATGGTCATTACTGATAAAGTGCCCTGAGAGAAAAGAGGCTGCAAACTCAGCCTTAGGGACCCATCTCCTCCTTGGGGAGAATGCAGGGGAGGCCAGAAGGCTGCTGGTGTTCAGAAGAGCCTACCAGGAAACCAACTGAGGTCCTGTGCTGGCTGCCTGAGGGACATCTGCTTATTCGGGATTATCTCAGCAAAAGGAACGGGCAGTCCTATTTCCCAACGCAGCAAACTGAATCCCACTGAAGAGGCGGGAAGGGCTGGCCCCTCACCTAAGCCTTTAGCTACTCCAGCTGTATAAGCAACGTCTCTCCTCTGCAGAGGCCCTGTTGGTGATAAGATCCAGCTGGCCCCTTGTATTTTATTACTATTTTTTTAAATTTTTTGAACATTTTATTTATTTATTTGAGAGAGAGCAGGAGGAAGAGCAGAGGGAGAGGGACAAGCAGACTCTGCTGAGTGTGGAGCCCGATGCGGGGCTCCATCCCAGGACCCCGAGATCATGACCCGAGCCGAAACCAAGAGTCAGTTGCTTAACTGACTGAGCCACCCAGGCGCCCCGTGCTGGGTCCTTTTAAAATCCCAGCTGGGCTGATAATCAGTTTGGCTGCAAGGTCCTTATTCTGTGGTGCTCAAATATCCCTTGGCCCTGGGGCCAGGAAATGGACCATAAAGATGGCCAGCAGAGTGTGATAGGGGCTGGGGTTCTGCAAGGATGGGTCTGAGAACTGGCAGATTCTGAGCTGGTCTTGCAGAACTAGCTGCTTTTCACCTGCTTTGGGAGGTTGGGGACACACCCCAGGTGCGTGCTGAGGGCGGAAAAACCAGCTTGGAGATAAGGCCACTGGAAGGGCCTGAGATGAGGATTTTCAGTGCTAAGGTGAGGCTTTAAAGGCTCGAGTTTCTTCCTGGGGGCAGTAGGGAGCCATGGGAAGCTTATGAGCAGGGGAAGAACAAGGCCAGTTCTGGCGGTAACTACCTTGTGTGTGAGTGCTCTCACCTCTTCTTTGCTCTAGGATTCATGGGATCTGCGGTGATGTTGGCCGTATCTGCTATCTAAAAATCCCTGAATGAATGAAATAATGTCTAAACTGATCTAGGAGTGAGTGGGGGCTAGCTTGGCTGAGAAGCAGAAGGTTGTTGCAGTGATCTTGGGGTTGTGAGTTCAAACCCCACATTGGGTGAGGAAGGAAGGAAGCAAGGAAGGAAGAAAGGAAGACACGGCAGACCAGGAGCGAGACGCAAGACCAGAAGGAGATGGGCCAGGCCAGCAGGATAAGCCTTAGGGTGACCAGCTGGCCATGAGGATGAGGAGAGGGAGGGGGTGAGGGTGAGTGGCCAGGGTCCGCTAGGCACGTGAGTGGGTGGCAGTTGTCACCAGGAGGAGGAAGATATTTTAGGGGGTGAGCGGGAGGGGCCTGTGGGCCACGGGTCGGGGATGAAAGTTGCCAACGTAGCCTGAGGCTGGCGCCCGGCTTGGGGGTGTCTTTAGGAAACCCTGCATATTTGAGGGAAGAAGCAGTTCGCGGGCAAGTGGGAGATGGTGATGGTGGGGCCTTGACGGGGTCGGGGAGGCCGAGGGTAAGGTGAGAACCTTGTTCTGGGATGTTGGAAATACAGTGTGAGCAGGAGGAACCTGCAAGGGGAACATTTGGGAAACAGCCTTAGACGGGGAGGAAGGCATCCCTGCGAGTGTCCGGGAGCCGCGGAGGCCATTCCGGCCTGGGCGGGCCGAGTGCGTCGCGAGCGGCCACCTGGCCCCGGTGACCCAGCTGGGCTCCCGGATCCTTCCTGCTTGGTGTGGCCCTTGACCCCGGGGTGCAGTGGTCATCCTCCATTCCTGGCCGTTGCGCTCGGCCTCTGCTGCGTGTGAGTGGGCCATCGCCACACTGCTGTTCACGCTCTTCGGCCTGTTTGCTGTGGATTTTTCCTGCCTGGACAGCTGCACCCTATGTCTCCAGCCGGGCCCCAGCCTCAGCCCCCCGCCGGCCTCCCCCATCTCCCTGCAGATCCCCCTGTGAATGGCAGTCCGGGCGGTGTGGTCTGGCCCTGGTGCTGTTGTCAGGGCCATCCAGGAAGTGAGAGGCCAAGGCCAGCCAGCCATCCCTGCTCAAGGCTATTTATTATTATTATTATTAATTTTTTTTT